CCACACCCTCACCTACCCACACCCTCACCTACCCACACCCTCACCTACCCACACCCACACCCTGACTACTCAAGCAAATATACTGATTTCTAATCATTTAGATTTTGTTTGCCTATCAATGCATATTTTATTATTTAAAATAAAATACTGCTTTTAAATTTTAAATCGTATAGACTACAAGTGAGGATATATGGAGTTAATACAATTCATTTACCGAAGAATACGGTTAGTCTTTCACTCATAATTTCGATCGAAAAACGAAAAAAGTCTGTTTAAATAGAAAAATCTATTAATATCAACTGTTTAAAAAGCGATACTTTAATGATAAATTATATTTAATACGTTTCTTACATTACTTCTGATATATTGACTTTATTCTTCTTTTTTCTATACAACAGTAAAAACAACAACAGTTAGTCATAGTGATATCATTTAATAAGATTGATTTATATCAACAATATTCATATTTATTTTCTCTGTGCTGTTCATGTAATAATCTTCCTATAAAAAAGTTATAACATATTTTGATTCAAATTTGTATCAGATTCAATTCTATTAATAACTAACAATAATACTCAATCTTGAAAGAAATATGATTTATAAAGAAATTTTTTCACATTTAAAATGATTTTCTATTCTATATTATTATTTCACATGAAAGTTTGAGGAAAAAAACGGAATTGAATTTACATCACTATTAAATGAAATATTTTAGAAGTCTTAGTTACCATGAAACTTTAAGATAAATAAAATATTTCTCATCAACTTTATCATGTTAAACATTTTCAACCTGAAAACTTGTTGATGGTCCTAATAATACTTCTTCTTTCGCGGAAAATTTTGATATACTTGATATGTCTAAATGTTGTGATTGTGATGGTATAGTAATGATAAAAAGAGTATTTCTATCATATATTGTTGCTACATCACGCTTTTTACTTGCTAATGAAAATACAAGCCACATTTTAGGAGTTTTTTTAATAGAATTTTTATAATCATCAATTTCATTATATTCTAATGTTGCAGTTCGATGAATTTCACTGATAAAACCATCTTGAGGGTGTGGGTGTGAGTGTGGATCTTCGACAATCGCTACACACACACACGCACAGTGGATAAATACATCTATATATTAATATAAGATGCTTAAGATATAAACACGGATAAAAATAGTAATTGATTAACATTGAAATTACGGGTGATGCCTTCTCGTTCCGTTCCGAAGGAACGAGCACGCAACTCATGTTACGTTTTCTGGTATTCTTTGAACATATTGAGTCTTACATACTACTGTCGAGTCTGAAATTATTTTGACAAAAACTTTAGATTTATCAAAAATTGTGAAAGTTTAGGATATTTATAAATCGCCTACTTTAGGACTCAACAGTAATGCATACATATGTTTTCATTTTCTTATGCGAGATTACTGTCCATTCCTCATTTCTAGGAATGGAACAGGAAGGCAACACTCCTAAATTGAAATTCAAAAGATGAAATTGATAAACTGATTTATACTTATTCCTATTTCGAACTATCATAATTAGCAAAATTATAAAACTTTTTTATTAAAACTTACATATCATCAAATTATTATACTTCTTTCTTCATAGTAAAATTATTTGTTTT